TGGGTTTAACTGAATTCGCTGCTGGGCCTGAAAGATTGTCGAGGTGACAGTCAGTTTGGCATCTTTGTCTGAGGACTTTCGTTAGCTTGTGTCACTGGCAACATTCATCTAGATAGCTGTCACGACTCTGGCTTTTTCTACTTTTTGAGAGCGGGGAGCTTACCTCTAAATTGGCTATTGCTTCGATGAACCTGTGCCCTTTTTGCATGCTGAAAGCCGTGGGACTTTTCACAAGACTTATCGTGGCTGGCATTTTGGTATCGGTTATCGGGGGTTAGTCGATTGGCATCATACGAGGGGTTGGCAGCAGAGGCATCAGAGCTTGCATTAATTGAGATGGCGGCCGGTCAGATCGCGATGCGTTCTGCAGTTCTGACGCTGGGGAAGCAAGTTGGAAATGAACCTGCTAAGATGGCCACAGATCGATCCAATATCAGGGTCCCGGAATGCCTGACAGTTGCGTCGTGATGCGGTTGAGAATATTATTAGCCACTGCTTCGGCACTCAAAACGGTGGTGGATACCGTTACGGAGACTACGGTTACGGTAGCCGCTAGGTCGTTATCGACCCTTGCAGTGTAGTGCCTGAGGGTAGAAAGGAAGTTCGCCGAGGTTATTGGCAGTGTGCCCAATCGGACAATACTTCAATTAATTTGATGCAAGTCTAATTCTTACAGTGTCTCCCTCGAACTTCCCAAAGCGCTCAAGATAATCCCGATAATCATCAATCTCACCGACGTGCAGCTGTCAAGGGTGGCCTAATCTCTTACCGTTTCGAGCAGTTGACTAGCAGTTTTTCGACGATGAGACAATTTGACGAATCAAGTGTTGACATCTTAGCCTCTTATCTCTAAATCATAATCACAAGCTTTCAATCTGACCAGGGTTCTCCGCACGGGAATGATAACAGTGGGTCCGTATCCTGTCAAAACGGAGCGTAGTCGGAGGGCGCAAACGGAAATCCTGCTGCGTTGTCAAATGAGGTTTGAGGATTTCTTCCCCGCGATTGAATCGAGTTAGCTTCGGCCGATATCGATAGCTGCTGATCTGACGGCATGTGCTGGAAGTCTTATGGCCGGAATGGATGGATCGGGGGTTTATAATCGAGGCAGTTCCCAGGCATTCTATCGACCCTTAGTTAATGTTCTGACAACTTGTTTCTGACACACCTGACACAATGGATGTCAAACCAACCACCAACCTCGATGACTTCCAACTCGCTCAACTGGGTCATTCCCAGTCCTTCAAGCGCAACTTCAGTCGCTGGACGATGCTGGGCTTAGCCTTTGCTATCCTCAACTCCTGGACTGCACTCGCAGCATCGCTCTCACTCGCTCTACCATCAGGAGGACCTGTCGCTGTGATTTGGGGACTGGTCACAGCTGGTATCTGCAATCTCTCACTTGCTGCAAGTCTAGCCGAGTTTCTGTCAGCACAGCCAACTTCTGGTGGACAGTATCATTGGGTTGCCACTATTGCCCCTAAGTCTCTGAAGATTCCGCTGTCTTGGATCACGGGTTGGATTAATCTCAGTGGCTGGGCCTGCCTGGTTGCTACGAACTGTTCCTTGTCGAGCACTCTCATCATCAACATCATCTCGCTCCAAAACCCCAGCTACGAGTTCCAGAGATGGCACCAATTCCTCATATATCTTGGTATCGCCTTTATCGCCTTTGCCACCAACGCTTTCCTTCATTCGCTTCTCCCTCGCATCAATGGTCTTGCCCTTGTTTGGAGTATCGCTGGCTTCTTCATCATCTCTATTACAGTGCTCGCGTGCGCTGCGCCCGACTACGCCACAGCCGACTACGTATTCGCTACCTTTATCAACACGACCGGCTGGCCAGATGGTATCGCCTGGCTCCTTGGTCTCTTACAGGGAGGACTTGGACTTACAGGGTTCGATGCCGTTGCCCACATGATTGAAGAAATTCCCAATGCAGCCAGTGAGGGTCCCAAGATTATGCTGTACTGTCAGTATATTGGCATCTCGACTGGCTTCCTGTTTCTTATCGTTGTACTCTTTGTGTCTGGCGGTATCAAGAATGCCGATACCATCATTGGATCAACGGCCGGTCCTCTTCTTGAGATCTTCTACTTGGCCACCAACAGCAAAGTCGGAGCTATCTGTCTGCTTATGTTCCCTCTTCTCTGCCTGGTATTCGCTGCCATCGCAGTCATGACGACTTCATCACGTATGATGTTCGCGTTTGCAAGAGATGGTGGACTTCCAGCATCACGCATCTGGTGGAAGGTTCACCCAAAGCTTGGTGTACCCATGAACGCTCTGTATCTCAATGTTGTAATTGTGGTCATCTTTGGCTGTATTTACCTCGGCTCTACTGTCGCCTTCAACGCTATCGTCGCGTCTTCTGTGGTTGCTCTGGGTCTTAGCTATGGAATTCCAATCGCTCTGCACCTTGCGCGTGGTCGAACTCAATTGCCTGAGGGAGCTTTCAAGCTACCCAACTGGCTTGGTTGGACAACGAACATCATTGGACTGGTATACACTATCGTTACCACCGTGCTCTTCCTGTTCCCTCCAGCGTTGCCTGTTGATGGGACTACAATGAACTATTGCGTTGTTGCATTTGGTGTTATTGTGGTGATATCCGCTATTCAGTGGGTTGTGGATGGAAGAAAGAACTTTGAAGGCCCTCGAATCACGATAGGCGAACATGAGATGGCAGAAAGAGATGTTGAGGAATGATGGCTTGTTAGGCTATTGGACATCACAGGGATCAACCTGTAGAAGCTGCAAGGTCACAGATCACTCTAGACACGAAAAGGCTCTTGTTACGCAATAATCATGTTTTTTTTAGATACAAATCATAATCCATATCCTCAATCCACCATCAAAACCAAACTCTTTGCCTTCAATTCCAATCCAGATTCCATTCGGACAATTTGTACCCAGTTTCATAGCGGCAAAGATCAAGCCTTCTCAGTCTGGAGAATAGCCATGTCCGCCTCCTCGAAAGAATCGATTTTGTAGGAGCTGAACTTGCGGGCCGAGACACCCTTGGCGAAGAGAATATCGAGTTCCTCAAAGGTACGGTTTCGGGTCTCAGGAAGACGGAAGTAGCCCCAGACGAAGACAATGAAAGCAGTGCTTCCCCAGACGAAACCGGTATAGCCTCGAAGGTTCCACTCAGTAGGGTTCATGAAGTAAGGCTGCAGAACACCAGCGATAACTCCAGTGATAGCGTAACCGTTGCGAGCGAGGCAGATGGTCTTCTGTCGGAGTCTGGTTGAGCCCATCTCAGCAGGAAGAGCCCAGCCGAGCTGACCAGCAGACAACTGGAAGATAAAGGTCCAGACCAGAGTGAGGACAGCTTGAGTCATGGCGACTGTGTGGTTCTCGGTTCGGGTGTTGAGAGCGCCAATGACGAAGAGGACAACGGCCATGACGAACATACCATAGAGGTAGGCAGTGCGTCTTCCAACGTATGGCATGACACAGAACCAAGAGACCAAGCAAGCGAAGAGGGCCATTCCGTTTCCGCCAACGTTGAGATGGTAGGTAGTGTTGGAGTCGAGACCGATCTGTTGGAAGAAGTAGGTCGAGTTGTAGGCAAAACAGAGGCCAGAAAGAATCTGACCAGCGAATACAACAATGGCAATCTCGGTTCGTCGGAGTTCGAAGCCCTTGAAGCAGTCGCGGTACGAAGTGCCGACGGAAAGCTGCTCTTCAAGGTTGTTGGTATAAACGATGAGGCCAAGAGCATCGCGGAGCTCAGCGTCGGTGGCGCTAGGTCGAAGTCGGGCGAGGCTCTTGAGGGCGTCGTCATGTCGGCCGATACGAACAAGATGCCAGGGAGTGTCGGGAGCAAAGCGGAGGATAGGCACCAGAATAACAGGCCAGAACCACTGAATCGCAAAGGGGATGCGATACGCCCAAGGAGCGGGAGTGTTGACAAGGCCAGCCATAACACCAGCAGAGATGAGCTGTCCGATGATGAAACACATGTTGGTCCAACTGGTCATGTAGACTCGAAGCGACATGGGAAGAACTTCAGAGGCATAAGCTGGGGCAGTCGTAGCAAAGACACCCCAGGGGAAACCGCAGAGGATCTGTCCGATGAGGAGGACTTTGTTGTCGGGAGCGAAGAAGACGATGAAGATGAAGCAGCTGAGAGAGATCAAAGAGCCGATGAGGACCTTGATGTGGCCATACTTGGTGACGAGGTAACCGTTGAGAAGAGTGCCGAAGAAGGAACCGACTCCTGCCGCGTTACCGAGACCAGCTTGCCAAGGAGCAGAGAGCTGATAGTTGTTGGTCTCCTCGTTCCAATGGCCGTACTTCTTGGCGAAGGCGGGATAGGCGTAGAAGTTGGAGAGGAGGTTGGTATCGTAGCCCTCCATGATGACGCACATGGAGACGACGAGACACCAGAAAACTGTCCAGGGATACTTGCGAACGGCTTCGAAAGGAGGGAGGTCATGCTCAGCCTGGGCACCGAGACGAGCCTGGTCGGTGGTATCGTGGCCAACGGTCTTTGCCATCGAAGCCTCGACATCGTAGCTTTCGGCGTGTGAAACCGAAGGGTTGATGATCTCTTTGCCCATTGTGACTGAGGGTTGATGATTGTGAGTAGAAGAATGAATGAGCTGATGAGTGTCTGATGGAGTAGATCTCGAATTGATCAGCAACGCATCTTGAGGTTATATACTGGAGCAATTGAATCCTCCTCGCGTGTGTATGCCAATCGCTTTTGTTTCCAAGTGCCAGTGCCAATCCCAAGTCCCCATGGGGAACCGAAAACCGCCCCATGGGGGTTAATGTTACAGTCCGAACATTACCCCTTACGGAATAGCCCCTCACTTGAAGAATGCTTAGCCTGGGGCCCATCGTGACCTCGAGAATGGTCCGTTTGTGGTGGATACCCCTCATCGCTTGATATATCGGACCGAGAGTCACGAGAAATGACGCTGGCGAAAGAATTAGATCTGCCGACAATATCTCCATTGAGCATTCAACAACCCCGGATCTAAAGCAACATGGCGACTATCCCGGTAAAGCGCGGCCAGGTCTGCGACAACTGCCGATTCCGCAAGGTCAAGTGTGATCGTGGCCTGCCCTGTAAGAACTGTCACCTCGGGGACCTCCGTTGCCAGTATCGCCACAGCATTCGGAGGAAGGGCCCAAAGCAGGGCCAAGGGAGACGACAGACGCAGCTGAGACAGGGTTTGGGTATTGATGAGTATCAATTCCAGATACTCACTTCGGAGGCGCCGCCTGGATCAGCCAGCAATAGCCATGAAGATGCCTCAACAGATGCTCACCTCAACGCTCAGTCATTCTCATCTCCACCAACAAACGTCGACACTGCTCCACAACCAGAGCCAGAACCTGAATCAGATTCAACAACATCACCCAATGAAGCGGGCATCGATACCGGAGACCTCTGCAACCGCATGTCGCTGTCACTCGTTGCTCACATACGGCTCTTCCAGAGATTTCTCTACCCTATTATGCCAGTCGTCGACGATGATATCCTCGCCGATGCAGCTCGACTGGATGACCTGCCACCTTCCAGATACGCTCTCATCCTTGCAATATGTGCTGCAACAAGAATGCAGCTCCGGTTAGACAAAAGGATCGACAATTGTGAGAACGATCTCAACGCACAAATCCCAGCAGAGCCACGTTTAACGGGAGACATGCTGGTTAGCCTGGCCGAGACCTCAGTTCGTCAATACAGTGTCATCGATGATACAACTCTCGACTCAATACTCGTCTCGTTCTTCCTCTTTGCAAGCTACGGAAATCTGAACGATCCGCGCCACGCTTGGTTCTATCTCAACCAGAGCATCACCCTTGCGCAGTCCCTTGACCTGACAAAAGAGTCCGGCTACTATGGCCTGCCTGCTGAACAGCGTGAGAAGAGAAGACGCGTCTTCTGGCTTCTCTTTGTTACAGAAAGGTGAGCTCATCCCGCCACTGCCATACCATCAAGACTGACACGTTCCAGAACCTTTGCTCTCCAGCACAGAAGATCCGTCATGCTTCGAAGCACAGTCAACAAACCCCAAATCGTCGACTCAAATTGTCCGGTAGTGATGCACGACTTTATAAACCACATCCGCCTCTTCGAATCTCTTCCATACTCCCTGTACGAATGGCAGCCTGAGGGTGATGATCAGCGCTTCGATGACTTGAAGCTTGTGCATACCATCAACGAAAAGCTCTGCAGTGTGCAGCCAGACCAATCGATCATTGAGAGTCAACGATTCGATACGCTCATCACTCAACAGTGGCTTCGGATATCCATGTGGAGGATTGCGTTTGGCCAGAATCCTTCGTCGGCGTCTGGCTTTGGACTGCTACTTCCACCCTCGCTTCCCATGGATGCAGGAAAGATCATCATGTCAGCCTTGGGGTCTGTTGGAACCAAGTCAAAAGACTGTCATGGCATTGGGATGGTAGGATACGCCGAAGCTCATAACTAGTCATAGTACTGACACTTTGTAGGAACAAAAGCTCTTTGACGTCGGCATCAGTCTTGCAGATACTGCTCAACTCCCCGGCTGGACATATTCTGCCCTTGAAAATGGCCCTCGTGACTTACTCTCCGTCGTGATCCATGCCCTATCAGCCGTTCGAGGCGCCCAGTCTCACTTGTTGCCTAATCTTCTAAAGCACTCGGAAACATTGTTTACTCTTGCAGATCCCAATGCGCATCTCGATCTTCAGTGGGACATGCAAGGCGCAGAAAATGATGAGAGGCTAGCGATTGTTGAAGAGTTATCACCGGACGATGAACAGCCCGTGGACCCGTTGGGCTGGGTTCCAGATGGTAACCTCGACCTTCTGGACCTGAGTACGCCTGTGGTGACGACGACTTGGGCGGATGCAACTATTGCGTGTGGACGATTCGATCCCGAGATTGGACTTGTTTTTAACTGAGGCGGGAAAAGCGTTCTTCATGTTGACAATCTATCCAATATGCTCGTGCTGGGTTTTCCCTTTCGCGTTAACCATTTGGTGTCCTTGATATCTTTCACTACATAACTTTCTACCCGACTCAATTATACCCTGTCTAGCAGAACGACCTTACTATCATAGTCTGTACCAAATCGAAATTGTATTCCTCCATTCATCAACGTTGCGCCCGAGTATGTCTCTGCGCCGTCAAGCTTATATCTCGCTGCTGGGTCAAGTCCAGCTAATCGAAGGAGGGGGTAGTTCAGAACTGTAGTGGCTCTGATCTGGAACGCGAACAAGACCGCCTGACTTCCATCTTCGGACACAAATATGGCCGCGGGGAAGTTTGAGTCCTCAGGTAACACCAACCGCCACATATCTCCCTTGATGATGATGGGGTTGATCTTCTCGGCGAGCTTGATGAGATCTGGAATCTGCGCCTTGTCTTCGTCGGGTGTATGGTCGGGGTTCAACTCGAAGCCAAACGAACCACCCATCATGGCGACGTGGGCTCTGAAGCTCATCGGGATCGAGCGTCCAGTCACATCGTTTGGTGCAGAGCAGACATGTGCGCCCATTGTCGACGGCGGGTAGACCAAAGATGTACCAAACTGGATGTGAATGCGATCGAAAGCGTCCATGTTGTCCGATGTCCAGACCTGCGGGAAGTATTGCAAGATGCCAGGATCAAAGCGACCGCCACCAGACGCGCAACCCTCCCAAAGGACATCGGGAAATCGGGCTGTGAGCACGTCGAAGACGTGGTAGATACCGAGCATATAGGCGTGATGGTTATCTGGCGTTGGGCTTTCGTGCATCGCTCGGTTGTTGTCCCATTTGACATAGCTGACTGGGACAGTTTCCAAGATCTTGGATACTGAGCTGATGATGAAGTCCTGCACTTCGGGAAGGGCCGCGTTCAAAACCAGTTGTTGGCGAGTTTCACTGCGAGCGTAGTTTCCAGCGCTCAGAACCCACTCAGGATGCTGTTCATATAGCTCAGACTTCTGGTTAACCATCTCGGGCTCAAACCACAATCCAAACTGCAGCTTCTCGCCTGAATCCTTGACCTGCAACTTGGTGATGTCCTTAGCAAGAGAGTCCAAGCCACTGGGGAACCTCTTGGGATTGGCAACCCAGTCACCCAGTCCAGCATGGTCGTTGACGCGAGGATGCTTGTCCCCAAACCACCCATCGTCAAGCACAAAGAGCTTGGCGCCTAACTTGGCTGACTCCTGTGCAAGTTTGTAGATGGTCTTGTCGTCAAAGTCAAAGTAGAGACCTTCCCAACTGTTCAACAAAACAGGTCTCGTTTCAGAGACAAACTTGCTTCGGATGAGGTTCTGGCGATACAGACGATGGAACTTGCGTGACATCTCACCAATGCCGAGGTTGGAAAAGACGGAAACGCATTCTGGTGACTGCAGTGATTCGCCCGATCTCAGTGGCCAAGAAAGCTGACACGGGTTCATTCCTATGAGTGCACGAGTGAGGCCTTGGTGACTCTTCTCAACTTCGACGCTGAAGGAGCCGGTGTAGACGAGGGAGAAACCCCAAGCTTCGCCGTGGGACTCGGTTGTTGTTGGGGAGACCATTGACAAGAATGGGTTATGGTAGTGAGATGAGTAGCCAGTAGTACTTCCAAATCTGCGCCAATATTAGCAATGCGAACTCTGCTTTAAGCTGATTACATACCCTTGCAGTCCATACTCAACCTTTCGGCGAGTTCTGTTGCATTCTCTAGTCCATTCTCCTTGCAACTGCAGCATCTCGTAATTGTCATGAGGAAAGTCAACGCTGAAGCTGGACAGCTTCTCAACAGTGATAACATCATCACTCTGGTTAATGATTTTGACGTTTCGCACAATAGCGTCGAAATTGGGGAAGATAGAGTATGACAGGTCTGCGCCAACAGAGCTATACTCATCGTAAAGATGGAGAATTAGTGTTGAAACATCATCGTCTGAGCCGAACGTGCTGGGCAGTTTCTCAATCGCAGGTTTACCCTTTACGACTGTATGAGATTTGTACTTGAAGTTGCAAACTGTGAAGCCCTTGGCGTGCTTGATGTGTACAGCAGGAGTGCGGAAGTCTCCACGGCCAAGGTCTGGGAATTCACGGCGGAGATGAGCTTGAGTTGACCAGCCTCCGCCATTGGACATGATCTGAGCGACGGGGTTTTCTGTTACGCGATCACCGAAGTGATCGAGAAGCAGATCACCAGTCGCTGGATCTACATGAAAGCGATACGAGACATTTTTGCCGTTGAGCGCAAACGACGCGCCGTCCACAACGATTGCTAGGCTTGTCAGTGCTGATAACGAAGATAATACGGGAAACATACGGTCGGCTTTGGGGGTTGGTGTTGTTGTCTGAAGAAGAGTCATTGTGAAGATGCAAGAGACGCTATACACAGAGATTGAGGAGAAAAGGGACGGGTCTGTGGAAAGATGATTACAGGCGTTCAACAAAAAGCATTGGATTCGGGTTTAAATAAAATAATTGTTCTTGTCATGGAGTGATCAGTGACAGGATTCCGAGCATTTCCCCATGGGGTTAATCAACCTCCGATCAAGGAGCGGGGGTGATGAGACAAAGACAGACTAGCCTGCATTAATCGGGGCATAACTTATGCAGATCGCGTATGTTTATGCAGTTCAGTTATTTTACCCTGCACTTGTCCTTGGTTTAACCCAGACCTGAAAGTCGAGCGGCTTCACAAACCAGTAATTCCGGGTCTTCCACTCATTCTGACGCAAATTATCATCGAGAGCAAACTCAAAGTCTCGGACCAGAGCAGGAATGAGCTTGCACATTTCGAGCATGGAAATATGACGACCGATACAGGTGCGAGAGCCAAGGCCAAACTGCGAAGAAATCCAGTCAGCTCATTGTTATATACTTAACATTTGGGTGCCAATTGAATTTGTTTGGGAATAATAAAGGTAAACTCACCGGCATCCAGAAGCGGTTCATCAAAGCGACGCGCTCTTCATCATCTTGCAGCCATCTCTCGGGCGAGAATGAATCTGCGTCCTGTCCAAAGATGCTGCGGTCTCTATGCGCAACCCACGTATTGATCCCGACGACAGTACCCTCGGGGAAGAAACGACCTGAAATGGCAGCACCACCTTCGGGCACCACGCGCTCAAGGGGTAGTCCAGTGGCTGGATGTAACCGCAAGGCTTCCTTAATGACCGCCTGCAAGTACGGCATTGCCTGGCTCTCTTTATAAGTGACATAAGTTGATAGTTGGCCATTTGCAGTAAACGTGTCAACCTCTTCTTGTAGCTTGTCCATGCACGAAGGGTTCTTCAGAAGATAGTACAGCACAGCTGAGAGGCTGATTGCAGTTGTATCAGATCCTGCGATCATGTTGATAAGACAGCCGGATATAACATGGCAGGAGGTGAATGCATCTGGCTTTGAAGTGTTTTTGGCAAGGAACTTCATAAGGAAAGACTGTGTTGAGGCGTCACTGTCGTCCAAGATCACAGCTTTAGGATTTGACTGCGCTTCACGGATCCTTGCCATGGTGAATGCAGTCACATAAGCTCCATCTTGTCCTTTACTCCCTGCAAAGAAGTTCATGGCCGGAATAATGATATTGTGGAGGGTGGGGAAAACAATGCCAACGATTGTCGAATAGCCGAGTATCTTTCCCAAGGCGTTGATGACATTTCCCACGTCCTCTCCTCTATCGAGAAAGCCCAGACGCTTTCCATACGTGATCATACCAATCACATCAAAGGCATAGCATTGAAGCCAATGATGCATGTCAACCGCTTGACTTGCCGCACATAGCTCTGACAGGCGGTTCTTCAACAGCTCGGCACACTCGTCAACAAAGGCTTCGTAGTTGACCAAGGAAGACATGGAGTAAGTGGACTGGTATTGCTTTCGATCGTGTGCATGCTTGGCCAAGGATCTCTCGTTGAACAGATTGTTAGATCCTGGATTGCCCCAGGGTATGTACCATGGAGACTTTGGGAATGAGGTACCCAGACCGTAGATGACTTTGACTGCCTCGAGGTCGCCGAAGCTGTAGCGGTTGGGTGTATAGCGAACGACAGAGCCTGAGGTATTAATAACTAGAGAGTGGCGCAGGAGTATGCTTTCACATACCATATTTCTTGTGTAAATCACAGTTAGCATGCTCGAAAGAACCTTGCCAAACTTTCCAAGTATACCAACCGAGTGTCCATCGGGCGGCACGGGGGCTTTGAGGCTTGAACGGATCTGAGGTCTGAGCGCAAATGCCGGAAGAGGGTCAAGACTGCTTTGAGTAGGAGAAGCGAGACCGATGGGATTGCAACTAGGTAGATATTCATTTTGTTGCCAAGGTCTGCATTAGAAATGATGACCAAAACCACAAAGGTACATGCGCGAGAGCAGCGACCACCCGCCCTTTAAGTAAGCGAAGCTGAAAGAGTGGACTATAGTGATATACCGCTGTTCACCGTCCCAATAAATTGGATTTTCGGATCTCGGGTGAGCAAGTTGGCAGATTCCCCGCATTTATCCCATTAGCGGGTAGTTATTGTAGATCCGGAGGCCAGTACATACCGAGACCGAATATTCCAATAGATATTGATTGATGGTGTTATGTAAGTACTTTCCAACTCCTAGCTTACTTTAAGAATAAATTAACTAATAATAGTAGCTCTGCTTAGTGTGACTCCTATATAGGCCTCTCTAGAACTAATATCTCTACATATTCTAAACCGGCTTTGAAGCTTTAAAAAACCTGTGCAAGGCGAGTGGGCATCTTACTGGGAACCGTATCGCCCGTACGCTCAAGAACATCCTCCTCATCTCCTCCAACCTGAGCTCCAAGAGTTGCCGCATCCTGAGTTAGCTGCCCATCAACATTATCCCCATCTGTCTGAACAAGATCCGCAGCTTTGTCTTGTCCAACGGCGTGTAGATCATTAGCCGCACCGTTGGCAATTTTATCAGCTGTCTCTTGACCTTGGGAGGAGGAGGAAGTGGGTTGCTGGTGCTGCCACCGCCTCCAGTGGTAGTTTTGCCGCCAAGGAGAGTGGCAGCGTTGTCTTCAGCGTTTTCGAAACCATAAACAACACCGTTATCGGTGCCGCTGAACACTGAGTCGAAGAAGCTGCCTTCACCAGCGAGCTGGCGAGGCTTCATGGTTGGGGCGCTGAGGGTTGCACTGGCAGCTGCCAGGATGACGAGAAGCTTGGCGAGTTGAGTCATGGGTGGTATTGTAAGATGTCAGATGTGTAGCTATGTGAATTATGATAGAGAGGTGAGCCGGTGACTACTCTGTGTTCGTATTGAGGAAGACTGGAGCTGAAGTCTGTCTAAATGCAGGACAACTAGTTACTGAAGCCGAGGATCTGCTGCCTTTTATCTTTGAATACCTCTCTGACGTATTCATGGTTCAGCAGATTTGTCACCTTTCACATGTTCACTTCTTACCAGCCACGTTCGTCACCTCTGTCGAAATACCCTCATAGTGATGCCTTACCCAGACGACTCAAGTATCCGAAATATCGCGCTATAGATGGATTCAAAATGCAGGATGACGTTGGAAAACAGATAGAAGATGCGGCTCCCAAGTGTTAGAGGTGTTAGCTGCGTCATGTCTGGAGAGACCGCTCTCAAATCTCAGCGAAGGACTATTGTCACCGGTGGCAAATCATACATAGACAATTACACATAGGGGATCAGCTGCTTGTTGAACGCTATTGGTAGTAGTTAGGGTTTAAGCATATGATTGTCTGGAATGTGACGCCAGGGGTTAACAAAAACAGGGGACAAGTCAAACACAGACCTGTTATTTCGATAAAGAAACCCTTCTAACCAAACTAATACAGCTCACCGGACTTACAAATTCATAAGTAATCGGTATATGTTTGATTACCTGCAAATAATTCATGTTGCAGAGAATGGGAAACTCGCTAAGGGTGGAGGCATAGAGCCACCTACGACACCTGGGGGACCCTTACTCCCCTGGTAATCATGCCCTGTCTTGGACCATAATTTCTGCAGGTAACAACTATAGCCTGACACGGGAGACGAAGAGCGCTGCAGAAAAGTGACAAGCAACAGTAGCCAATCTTGTGGTTGCCCAATTTCGGAATCCAACTCTTTTGCCAGAATCAGATACATTTACATCGAGAGAGATAAATTGTTCCAAGATCGTCCGGCATCAGAGGAAAGTCTGATTGCTAAAGTTGCGCCGACTCGCAAAGAGTAGTGCTTATGCAGGCGTCAGTTTCTCTCTCAGGTTAGATTCCAAGTTTATACAGACATCCTGGATACACGAAGCTCTGCGCTGATGCTAGTCTTATGAAAATTGAAAATTGGCCACAAGCTTAATCGACCCGTTTTGGGGGAGATCCAGGTCGCCCAACTCAATATACAGAGGCGGCATACCCGTGGCATCTACCATGTGTGCTGGCGCGAGTATTTCTGTCACCATCTCTCTGCCACTACTGCAGCGCGGCAGGCCCGGTCGGTGGCCTTATCCGTGGTATTCCAGCTCAGGAACTGGTCCAATGCTCGTCCTCTGATACTGTGTGGCTATAAAGCATGGGATAAAGTAGGATGAGCTTCGCAAGACGGGCTTCATTGCCCGTCGAGCAAGGAGTGCCGTTGCAACAGCTAAGCTGCCACCAGCGGTATCATCCGTGACACCAATGTACCTTTTATCTACCCCAAGCTCTTTTAAACGCACGACTAGCCAACTTAAAGCGACACAAACATCGTTGACGGGGATAGAACGGAGATGCTCCGGATCCAGGCGATGACCAACTGCGAGAAACAGCACCCCGTCCGGACGACATATACGGTTTAACAGTGCCCAAGATCATAGGCTTTTAATAATAACCTTTAAGTCCCAGTGTCACCAATCACTTCTTTTATACTGTTGTATAGGTGCTAAAGATGCCTTTTGTGGTTGTGAACTTGTGATAGGCATAGACCGGTATAAAAATTTAAGATTTTGCTCTTAGCAAATGAGAATACCGTCCCAAAGCTAGGTGGGAAGAAAGTTGCATCGGTGATCACTGATACTGCATATCAGAAGCTGCCGACTGAGACAGAAGCGCCAATCAAAGTGCCAGATGTCGAAACACAAATATTACGACGGGGTAAAGTCGGCACCTCATTCCGACAAGAACAGCAGTCGTTTTATTTAATCAAGTACAACGACAATGAGAAGAGCTCGACAAACTAAGTGCCTCCGATCTCTCCATTTAACTAATTGAAGTATCTCGGCCGTGCTCAGTGAATTATTCCTCGCTGTACCTGTATACAAAGTGTAAACCACGTGCAAGTTCAAAATCCTTCGCCACGGAACGAGACAAATCGGCATGTCTATTGTGGAATCAGTGTACGGGCCGTTGAGTGTCCAAGGCTTGATCTTCGGAGTACTATTACTTGTAAGTTCTGATTTCTATTATCGCTGGCTATCAAGATTGCGCACCCGCGAGTCCAATGGTTCGATGTTGATTGATGCATATCTATCTAGGTCGTCGTCCAGACTGTGCGCTACTTACTTTCTCCAATTTGCCGTCTTCCTGGTCCCATCACTGCGAAGCTATCATCTTTCTGGCTCGCATGCCAGTGCCAGAAAGTCCGACGTTCCGAAGAAGTACTTAATTTACATAGGTAGGGAACACGGCGACTTTGTTCAAATTGCACCCAATCATGTGTCCATCAATAGCCCCGATGCGATTCAACAGATCTATGGCCATAAGACCGGATTTATCAAGGGTCCCTTCTACGATGCGTTCCACCAGGTGACACCAGTAGTTTTCAACACCAGATATGTCTCGGAGCACACACGAAAGAGGAAGTATATCAATCCCGCGTTTTCGGCTCGTGCTTTGTCGGACTTTGAGCCCTATATGGATGCTGAGATTGTTGGATGGAAAGGCCAACTACTCAAGATTTCCAACGGATCAGACCCACGTCTCGACTTTTCTGTCTAGAGTAAGTGTACCACCATTGGCACTGAGACGGTGCTCTACTAATACCGTTCGCCAAAAAGCTAATTACCTGGTTTTTGATGTCATTGCCAGCTTTGCTTTCGGTGAGCACTTTGGTTTTGTTGAGAAAGGTGAAGACGAATATGGCCTCATCAAAATCATTGACACCCACGGCGAGTTTATGAACGCCCTTTGATCTCTTTCGCCTTTCCTGAGATATGTGATGAGGTATAATCCTTTTAACTCATTCTGGAAAAATGGATTCCGGGCATCAGCAGGCCTTGCAAAGATTGGAAATGAAGCATTCGAGAAGCGAAAAGCCTCAGCTGATAATAGCCGGAAAGACTTACTAAGCTTCCTCTTCAATGCGAAAGATCCGGATACGAAGCAACCAATTCCAGAAGACGAGATCATCGCACAGTCAATCAGCTTCATCGTTGGCAAGAGCGATACGACGAGTAGCACCATGACCAATTTGATTGACTTTGTGGCTCGCGATGAGACCTTGCAGCGACGCATCCAACAAGAGATCGACATGATCTTCCCAGGCGAGCCTTCCGATGACTGGGTGCCGAGTGAGAAAAAGTTAAACGAGCTGTCGTTATTGCTTGCAACTTTGAGGGAAGTCATGCGCTTTCGACCAACCAGTGCCACTGGATTGGAACGAGTGACGCCGCAGGGTGGAAAGACCATAGCCGGACAGTTCATACCGGCAAAGGCAAGTCCATAAAGGTGAATAGATGATAGACTTTGCTGATCACAAGACTAGACCTTAGTCAGCGTCCCAACCTTGGGTATCATGATGGATCCACGGATATTCGAATCACCAGAGACATTCAGACCAGAACGGTGGCTTGAATCAGGTGCAGATAAGCTCCTAGAATACTTTTACCCATTTTCAACAGGGCCAAGATCATGCATCGGAAGAAAGTAAGTCACTGATGATCCCCAGTAGTATGTTGCATACTAACGACTACAAGCTTCGCCTCGATGGAGATCTTGAAAGCAGTAGCAGTTGTCTTCAAGCTTTTTGATATGAAAAGAGTCAACCCTAAGTCCACAGTGATTAGAGAAGGCTTCTTCAACAAAGCTGTTGAATGTGAAGTCGAGATACACAAGCGACGTTTCAATCAGGAAATGTGAAAGGTATTCAAGGCTTAATCCAAGGCTTTAATTATCCACTTGGGATCTTATTATACACGAATTAAAACACCATTAAATTAATTCCGCTAAATGAATGTTGCCATGGAAGTGAACATGGCTCTAGTATGCAGCTGTTCTGTTTCTATCGACATGAGCGTCCTTGACATGCTGCTCCTTGACGCGATGTTCCTTGTAGCGATCACGAACTTCGTGAAATGCCGCGGTAATGGCATGGAGGATGCTGTTGACAGTTAGTTGTCGCACTGAAGCTAATCAGATATACCACTTACGTGCTAATAATGGCGAGAATGAATGTCCCCCAAGGCAGATTGCAGCTATCATCCGACGAGTCTGCGTTGATTCCAAAGGTACTCGAAAAACCCTCAGTTCTGTAGCAATGACGTGGACCAGCCATGCCGCCATTCGGGCGAGTAAGAACAGAGACGGCGATGAAAGCTCCAACAAAAGCAATATCCAACAGGACCCAAAGCCATCGAAGCCATCTCGGACCGCCGCCCTTGAGCAGCAGCGAGATCAGCATGGCGATGAGCGTGTAGAGGACAGCGGCAGCCAGGATGCCTTCAACAGCACCATAGGAGCTATTGACACCACGACGCGTCTTGGTGGCGTTGACGAGATTGTAGACCTTGCGAAGGCGGGCTGAGAAGAGCCCAAGGGAGATGACAGCGGAGATAAATTGTACAACGCGTGTAAGGCGAAGGAACCAGCGATAGAGGCGGGAATGTTTGAGCCTATCTGGGACCCAGCGAGTAAACAACCCCGTTTCGCGATTGCGATCATAAGTAGTGCCGTAGTCCGTGGGAGCAGCGCGAGTGTCGTAGTGAGCCATAGTGATGCGGTGAATAAGTGGGATCAATGGGCTCTCTACTTGAGGAGGATATAAGATGGGAGTTGGAAAAAGATGAGGTGGGTTCTATTTTCTGGCAATTAATACTTAATTATAATTTTCGTAATCTATGCGAGACGTCATAATGTCGCACAACAAGGCATCACATTCCCGGCCCTGTGACATGGCCAGCCCGTCACCGTCGTCATGGATAAGAGTCTCAGCTTCATAGTAACACCTCAGCCACCAAAATTAATTTATTGTGTTCAATGCGGTCAGCCAAGACGAGGGAATTGCCTTATTTTGATATCTGTTGCAGTTGGGCATGCCGTGGCTGGAAGTCCACTTTATCTGGAAGAAATGCTCCGGGCCAGTGCCGAGGGGCTTGGCTTACGATTTGCCGTGTCACCGGTGACGATTTTCCCGAGTTGGCACTTTGAAACCGGATATTATAGAGTTGAGTTAGGCCCGGATTGCAGATCTTTCAGTCAATCATCCACTCAGAATCACTCACAGGTTCACCAACCTGTTGCCTGTATACACCTTGCGTTGAGGCAACCAGATAAAACGCGTTGTCGCTGGAGAGAGTAAGATGACGTTGATCTGACCGATTTCTCACTGCTATTTTCTTTTCTCTCTATATCGGAAATGACTGGCATTTACAAAGAAACGTACCTCTTAGAGGCATTCCAAGAAGTCGCGCAAGATATCTTCCTCACTCGCAAAGCCTTGTTGACCAATCTCTCGCAAAATACCCTCTGCTCTTTTAATAAGCCCGTCTGCATTGGAGAGATCCCTCCCTTCTACTGCCTCGTTTTCGCCCTTCACCAACTTCTCCCCTTTTGGCGACATATCTCGAATCTTACATCGTAGTTCATTCCATGTTGAATTGTGACAGTACGCAAATATCCGCTCGTTTACAAGTGAAGGAAGAGCTACCGCAGCAACCAAAAGACGTGCTGCGTCTTGAACATCGGTGAAGTATGCTATAAGAAGTGTCAACTTCAACTACTGGTAATGACTGATGAGAAGTGGAATGCCTACCGACTTGACCAAATACCTTATCCCATTCACCCTCGGCCGCCGCCTTCAACATACGGAAGGTGGATGTAGTCTTTTCTGGATCTAAGGCCCTTCCAAACTACCCGTCAGGTACTACACAGTTTGCAACAAAGGGAGGTTGGTTCGTGCCGACCCATGACCAGAACGCCAATTCCGCCAAAGCTCGACTGGCACTGTAAACGTCCACGAACCTATCGAGGCTTTCGACATTTGGCTCACAACAGGCCTTCCTGATGGCGTCGTAGTTGAACATACTTGACGTGATATGGTGCGGGTGGTTGTAATTGGTAGACTCAACCGCCTTGGAGCTGGAACTGAGAACATAGCGCTTTATTCCAGCGCGTGCTGCAGCCTCAAGACTGTTGATAGTACCTTTGATCACAGGTTCCACCACCTTTTCCGGGTCTGAATTCAGTATGATCGGTGTTGACACATAGATAACACCCTTGGCCCCTATGAGACCGTGGTCAGCTTTGGCTGCGAAATAGAACAGAAGGGTGCCCTCATACCTTTGAAGGCCTCATCAAATGCGCCTTCAGCTTCAAAATCAGGTACATGAACTAGTTCAAACATATGTGGCCACTTGGTATTAAATAGGTTATGCATCCACTGCTGGTTCTTCTCCACGTCTCTCACCGTTCCTCGGACAGAGAAGCCTGCTTGGAGGAGCTTTTCACAATTCTCGACCGCCATGTAGCCATTAGCACCAACGACTACAACGATGGAGCCAATTGGAATCGCAGAATTAGAGATACGCATATTGATAGCTTGTAATGGGGATGTATAATTATGAAGGGAATTACCTTGACATTAAGATTTTCTTGCACTGTTATGCAATTATATATAATGCTCTATTAATAAGATCACTATCAGTCTATCACATCGGTCCGCATAAATTATAAATCGCACATAGCTTAGTATTAGTCAGTTTTGCTTTGTAATTGTAATGTATTGTAACATAAAAGCTCAACACAAGCGTCAACTTCATAAGCTTGGTTACGGATAAGGTTAGCGTTGCGCGCATGTCGTGACAGTGGTGGAACTCCAAGATCACATTGTAAACCGCCACCAGGGAGAAATAATCTATCTACTTAATCTCCAAGTCATCTCCTACTTTTTCTAGCATACTCAAGCAGTTTTATAATTAAAATCTTGTCAATATAGCCCTTTATATAAGATAAAACTGTCCCAATAATAGAGTGGCGTTTATCGGCTTGCCTGCCTATGGTAAATTAACATTTGGCAGATGGTCACCCTCCCTATCCCAGGGGAATCCATTGGCCATCAGATCGTCAGTTAACCTCTCAGTTTCCATGACTACTGTACATTGATATTCGCCCACATTCATACTGACAATCCGATACAGGCCTCTTGCTATATGCTTAGTGACCTGCATAACTGCATGGTGTACATGTTTGTTGGTTCCGGTTCGAAGTGTGCGAAAGTCTGAGTCTCCATTAAGATTGATGTAAGTAACATCGACTCTGTAAATTGCTGTCCCGAATTCTGGAGCTTGCCCAGGTGGCCACGAAGCAGGATTGGTAGAGGGGTCAACCGTATAGATAACTCTATTTGGATTTGCCATAGTGCTCGGCTTTCTTGAAGAAGATAATAGATAAATAGAAATTGGAATTTACTAAAGGGACAATAGTACAGAAGAATAAATATATATTTCTGCACAAACCAACAGCAACACGATAAACTTAAGAGCAGCCAATGGCGTTAATACCGCAAAAAGATAGCCATTCTTACTCTCTGAACAGGGCATGACCTCGTATTTCACGGACCTCGGCACTGTAAAATTGTTTCCTATCACTATCAACTTTGGGAATAAACATGCCACTATGCATTAAACCAAGGACGAAGTAAGCTGTTCTGACTGATTTATACTTTTGTTGGTTGTTAGCTTGATGCATAACGGCACGCTTTTGCCGAAAGGGGAGGTTAGAGGAGCAGGATGTGGGCCAGGTTCAACGCCAAATAACACATCTCGAACATACACCTCTGCTATTAAATCGACTTGTGATAACCAGCTAACTACGCTGAAATAAGTGTAAGATTAAGGTTTTAAGAGACCCTATGTGACTTAAGATAACATAGCGAAAGGTAGGGCAATGTGGCTTGAGGTTTGCTTTAGATAGGGGAAATCGCGTTATGATACCCATGGTCAGGGTGACCCAACCAGAAAAGGCTGCTTGGACAGTTGCCTAGCGAGCAACAACCAACAAACAACAACCAACACCTTATCTCGTCTAGCCCCCGCTTTGATATCTGCTATTCTCTTACGAGCTTCGCCCCGGGTCGGTCGGCGTATAACAACTGGTAAGGCGACCGGAAGTGACCTCCTCTACCGTCTTTCCGGCTACAAATTGCAGATTGTTCGTCGTGAACCAATAACCAACGGTTGACAACTAACAGATAACAGCTATTAGCTATTTGTTTTACAATCTTTGCCTCGGATGCATCGGCATGCAAGATAACGGTAAGGTCACATTCTCGTCCCTCTTTATGGCCCAAGAACAAGACCAGTTTTTATTCTCTTAGCAGAGAGCCGACTTAGAACATGTTTATAAAAGAGGCAGAAGCCGCCATATTAAAACACAAGCTTCTCAGGGAGACCCATTTCTATTAATCAAACATCGGTAAGCTCCCCTGAGCTAAGAGGTGACGCTGATTAACATATTGCTAGAACCAATTTCTTCTTTCTTCACCATGATCGGAAATCGCGGCCCTCGGAATATAATCCTCATACTCGCTATCCTAGCAAGTATGCCAGGTAGCATGGTGGTCAGCTTGCCTGTTATTCCGACTAAAGATAGCAAAGACAATGTCGACTCAACAGAGCAAATCATCTACGGTGTACGATGCCATGACGATACCTACGTCATAGCCCACCATTGTCAGGCTCGCTGCAATGGAAGGGGCCACGTACTCTTCAACGAGACCCGATGCCCTGTCGGATCAGACAATGCTGATGATATATTTTCAGATTGTTACTGCACTCCACAATGCGTGCCTTGTAAGGAGGAGAGTGAAGAACAGGCTTAGTGGGAGATATCCTGTTTCTGAGTGCCTCGTAGAATGGTATACAAGTCAGGCATCTAGTTACTAATCTACAATAAAGACTGCAAGAAGGATACTGTCTTTCTCACTGATCTCTTCCGCGTTATAATTTCTCAGGCTTTGAGCGAATACTGAGTTAACTGGCATGAATAGTGATAGATTATAAGCATGGTTAGATACTGATTTATGAATTGTGCAGCTTTCCAGCTTATCAGGCCACATTTATTCGATCAGAAGCACTATTGGTCTGTGTGCTCAATCTCCAAGCTATGCTTGTTGCTGTCTAGGACATTTAAGTTAATTTGTGATTGGATTCCTGCCAATATGGCCCACACAATCCAATTGGCATCGAAGGTTGGAAGGTGTATAAAGACCAAAAGCAGGATCTACTAAAGCCACACTGCTACTGAGAGTACCTGAAACGAACTAGTATTGATCATAGATCTTGACTAACAGGAGCTGCGCAATCGATTGGACAGATTTGGATGTTGAAATATATCTGATACAGGGGTCCCTCTTTCAAGATCCGGCTGTAAGCTGTATAGAGCCGGTATTTCGGGCCTGACTCAGGCGACAACTTTGCCCAGAAGGAAAATGGCGTCCTTGTTGGTGAAGTTGGCCACGTCCCCCATTATCTCGGCGACCTCAGGCCCGGCAAAAGCAGTCTTGACCTGGCTTTGATCCTCCCATTCGACGATCGACCCGAATGCGTATGGACTGGGTGAACCGTCGAGTCCATCCGTGAATTGTGTAGCCGACCAGCTTTTGACACCATATTTGCCCCATCGCTCTAGGATGAGAGGCATGTGCTTGGATACATAGTACTTAAAATTGTATTTGGCATCCGGCTCGTTGGGAAAGAGGACAGTGACGGTGAAAGTCATGCTGACAGTGATTTTGAATACGGCTTGGAGTGAAGAAATTGATTTTAGCTTGGGTTATGACATATGGAGTTGGTGGTGAGAAGAGCGGTTTGAACACCAATGGCGTGGCTGCAAGCCTTTATGCTTGAGAAGTGAGAGGTAGCAGCTATAAGCCAAGTCTTACCCACGGCATTATCGGGTATACTTGTCATCATCAGACTTAAGGTTTAATTATACCCCACTTCGATGTGATAGAGTTACAAATCACGGTTGGCCAGCATCGTCGAGGTAAGTGACGTGGTATTTTGACTTGGCACAGCGCACTAACCTTGCAAAGAGTACTACTTCATTTTGAGAAAATGTATCAGGTCGGCAATTTATATATGAAGGCATCCTCTGACTCTGGAGATTCCATTTTCGCTTACATTCTGATATCAGCAAACGCTCTGAGCAATTGTTCTTTGCTTTTCATCCCTCACCATGTCAACGGGACAGAAGCTTTTGGTTGTCCTTACATCGCAAGATGGCCTCCCCACGCGGGCCAATATGAAAACGGGATAGTATCTTCCTGAGCTAGTTCACCCATACAATGACTTGGATGGCCACGTCGAACTCGTTGTGGCTTCACCCAAGAGAGGAGAAGCTCCCGTTGATCCGTATTCCATCGAGGACTCTAAAGATGATGAAGCTTGCCAGAGGTTTTTCAAGGAGAAAGAGCATGTCTGGAAAAATACTCACAAACTTGAAAGTTTCCTCGGTAAGTCTGATGAGTACGTCGGAATCTTTTTCGGTGGAGGTCATGGACGTGAGTTTCCTGCTTTTTGACCAACTTACGAGTTGCTTACAGATTACCCTAGCAATGTTCGATCTCGCCGTAGACCCCACATCTCACGCCCTGATTCGAGAGTTTTATGAATCGGGCAAGTTGGTCTCAGCAGTCTGCCACGGGCCAGCGGCTCTGGCGAATGTCAAGCTTTCAGACGGAAGATACATGGTTTAGGGACAGACAGTCACGGGGTTTTCCAATGCCGAAGAGGATGCTTACAAGTTCACTGACGCCATGCCATTTTTGCTTGAAGACAAGCTGAAAGAACATGGTGGGCAGTATGAGAAGGCTGATCAGCTCTTTGGCGTCAAGGTGGTAACTAGCGGAAAGGACGAGAACCTGATCACTGGTCAAAATCCTCCCAGCGCTGGGGTCATTGGCAAAGTCTTGTTGCAGGCTATTCAGAAGGGCATGGTTTAAGCAATAGCGAGATTAGATAGCTTGCGTTAGCACAAAACAACTTCTTATCGCTTCTGGACCTTTGTATGCTCGCAAGGCACAAACCAATCAGCGCTGATTGTGAATCTAGACTTCGATTCGTGAGACGACTAGTTGATAATTGAATCAGGTTTTTGAAGTTGTGCCACTGACGGGTTTGGATTTGAAGCGAATGCTCACATAGGATACATCCAGTGAACTGGAAAATAGAGAATGTGACCAGCCTGAGGAGAATTCCTTGCTGCAAGGTTCGGTAGGAAGGCAAGGGTTAATCCAATGGATCAAATTCGCCCAACACATTTAGATCACAGTTCACACGTTGTACTCACGGCTTCAACGGATCACGCCTATAATGGCGGTGAACGAAAAATGTTCGTGGAGTACATACGGGTCCGAATTTGCAGCCATCTTTTCAGCAAAGAACTCGTTCTGTCTTGCACCCTGCTAAGGAAGTTAGAATGTTTGAGTTCCATTGTGTTAAACCCGAAGTGTATTTTCTAACC